CATGTCATTCCCCCGAAGCAACATCCAGCTGAGGGTAAAGATCTGCTCAAAAGACTGATTATCTAATTATGTGTTATTGTTCTGCTCTGCCCCTACTTGGGCGTATCTTGAGCTTGTTGAATTCTTAAAACAAAACTTTCCTAATAAAAATATTGAAACAGAAAAGACTGATTGTTGCTGAGCCTGGCCAAGAATGTCTGTAATTTATCCTCTCTATGAACCATTACACTCAACACACAACCAATACAACCAAACAAATTTGCATAGAGCTGCTCTATTATTTTATTTATTTTTTTATGTCATGTATTGCATCTTTATTCTCCACCCTCACTGTAGATGAGCTCTTTGTCAGCAAAACTTCCAAAGCGTCACCCTAGACTGCCTAAATAGGAACATGAATTAGGGAAAAATACATCGGGTTGCAATTCAACTGATGTCTCTAAGGATCCAAGGTGTAAAATGATGCTATTATCCAAGGGACAGATATTCTGGTCACAGTACAACCTATGTTTTCTGCATATCATAAATCAGACAGCTGAGCACTGCAGGGATGTCTCCGTCCTGTACATTTCAGTTACTGTGTGATCCAACGTTAATTTCCCTCTGGCTAATATGTTTTTGTGCTAACCTATCGGATGGCAAAAACAAATCTGTATGCTAACATGATTTGCTTGTTTCCTGGCTATTTCAATGGTGGCAGATTTTCATTTGATGCGATTAATCCTAAACTGATTTGTAAATGGGAAGGCAGTTATAAGTGACCTCTGATATTGAGGATATGATAATATATGCATATCCACATTCTGTAAACTCTCTGCATTGTAATATTTGCAACATGCCAAAGTCATAGGAAGACATGCATATCTTGTTCAGCCTGAACTCTGACAATTTGTATGCTATTATTAAAAATAGACATTTTTTTCGAAATTATTTGCATCCTACAAATTACAGTTATTTGCTCTAAATGATGCACACACTAGAAAAACAAGGCAATGGGGAAACTTATCTGTCAACTCAAACCACATGTAATCACAACTGGTGAATAGCCGTGGACAGTGTCAGCCTGTCATTGAATTGTATAGCCTGATCGACTGCAGATGATCACATACAACTGGCCGTATCCATTGCAGAGATACTTTGGTGTGGGTGGTGTACAGCTTTAGATTGCCATGTGAATGAGGCCTAACATCCCCAGTTTTTTTTTTTTTATCTTCATTTCTGGGTTTTGCTATCTTGTACAACTGAAAATAGAGCAGCTTACTTTGCCACCTGCATGTGACACTATCCAAGTTTTTTTTTTTTTTGTTTTATGTAAAAGTCAATTCACAAAGATTACCACATGGCTTTTTTTTTTTTTTTTTTGTTAGAAGATCTGTACTGTCAGGACCCCTGGTGCCCAACCTGCTGGGCAACACAGCAAAATATTCAAGGCGCTCTATATATATATTTTTTCTTAGGTATTTACCAAAACATATTCAAGCTATAGCTATATAATGGATATGGGCTGAAAGTGCACACGCGCAGTTTAATTTGAGGGTATGTACATACAAATTGGAGGGAGGGTTTAGGAATTACAGCTCTTAAGAGTAGCCGCCCCCCATCCTCTTTCAAGGGACCAAAAGTAATTGGACAATTGAGTCAAAAGCTGTTTCATGGCCAGGTGTGGGCTACTCCTTTGTTATTTTTTATCATCAATTAAACAGGTAAAAGGTCTGGAATTGATTCTAAGTGTGGTGTTGCATTTGGAATCTATTGCTGTGAACCTACATCATGCGTTCAAAGGAGCTGTCTATGCAAGTAAAGCAGGCCATTGTAAGGCTTCAAAAACTAAACAAATCCATCAGAGAGATAGCAGCAACATTAGGAGTGGTCAAATCAACAGTGTGGTACATTCTGAGGAAAGTGCTACATTTCAATCACCATGTGGTTAAGGCCCCTTTTCACGAGGGTGATCCAATCAGGTGTACCTGTCAGTTTTTCATGTTGACCTGATCACATGGTCCATGTATTCCTGTGAACTGGTGGGTGTAAATGGACTTGTGTTTGTTTACACCTGCCTACCTCCAATCCGTGAAGCAAAAAAAAAAATGGAAGGGGTTCTGTTCTTCTCCATGTAGGTGGATGGGGGGCAGTTGGGTGTAAAAGGATAGCTGATCTGTTTACACCCAACCACCCATAGAGTGGGCTTTTGTCCGTGTCCGCTCTGCATAAACTGATTGGACATAGACTTGTCTTCCTCCCACTCTGCTCAAGAGGGGATCTACAGATGAGGAGAGGAGGAAAGTGGATTCTGTCCCATGTGAAAGGGGCCTAACCATTTATGTGGGTTGTAGCCCTGTAAATGGACTGGAATGGCTCATGTGTATAGGTGTACTGGGTTGTATAATATAAAATATGGCTGTATTTTTGCACCTGGGAGCCACAAGTGTTGCATATAGTTGTCTGTACAAATGAATTGCATGGGTATTCACAGCTCCAGGTGCACATGTGTGTACAGTTGTGACCAAAATTATTCAACCCCCAATGCTGTAAAGGGGTTTAGGGACTATAGTGTACATTTGGAATTGTATTCAGAATCAAATCCTACAAGGACGTTGTAACTACCCAAATGCAACTAAAATGACATCAATTGTTTATGTAATACAGTAGTAAATGGTTCTTATGTGGTTTCTTCATTGCCACAATTATTCAACCCCTTAAAGACTACCACTCTGAAGAACAGAGGTTCATACAGGTGCTTTCCATCAGGTATTGAAAACACCTGTGGATGTCACCGAGCAGCAATCAAGCATAATAAGCACCAATTAGGCAGCTTTAAAATGACTGTGATACTCAGCTCCTTCTAGACATTTACTGGTGTGGTTACAAACATGGTGAAGGCAAGAGAATGGTCCAGGAAGACAAGAGAAGAGGTGATTTCTCTTCACAGGAAGGGCAATGGCTATAAGAAGATTGCAAAGATGTTAAACATACCAAGAGACACCTTAGGAAGCATCATTCGCAAATTCAAGGCAAAGGGCACTGTTGAAACGCTACCTGGTCGTGGCAGAAAGAAGATGCTGACTTCGACTGCTGTGCGCTACCTGAAGCGTAGAGTGGAGAGAAGTCCCCGTGTGACTGCTGAGGAACTGAGAAAAGATTTGTCAGATGTGGGTACAGAAGTTTCAGCCCAGACAATAAGACGCACACTGCGTAATGAAGGCCTCCGTGCCAGAACTCCCAGGCGTACCCCCTTGCTGTCTCCAAAGAATAAGAAGAGTCGACTGCAGTATGCCAAAAGCCATGTGGACAAACCACAAAAGTTGTGGGATAGTGTTCTGTGGACTGATGAAAACAAAATTAGAACTGTTTGGGCCCATGGATCAACGCTATGTTTGGAGGAGGAAGAACAAGGCCTATGATGAAAAGAACACCTTGCCTACTGTGAAGCATGGTGGAGGGTCAATCATGCTTTGGGGCTGTTTTGCTTCTGCAGGTACAGGGAAGCTTCAGCGTGTGCAAGGTACCATGAATTCTCTTCAGTACCAGGAGATATTGGATGGAAACGTGATGCAGTCCGTCACACACCTGAGGCTTGGGAGACGTTGGACCTTTCAACAGGACAATGATCCCAAGCATACCTCCAAGTCCACTAGAGCATGGTTGCAGAGGAAAGGCTGGAACATTTTGGAGTGGCCATCGCAGTCACCAGACTTAAATCCGATTGAGAACCTCTGGTGGGACTTAAAGAAAGCAGTTGCAGTGCGCAAGCCTAAGAATGTGACTGAACTGGAGGCCTTTGCCCATGAAGAATGGGCGAAGATACCCGTAGATCGCTGCAAGACACTTGTGTCAAGCTATGCTTCACGTTTAAAAGCTGTTATAAACTGTAAAAGGATGCTGTACTAAGTACTAAGATTGAATGTCACTTGGGGGGTTGAATAAAACTGATAATGCTGTGAGCACAGAAAAGACATTTGTGGTTATTTCATTATAACTGTTATGTTATATTTGTCTGACCTACAAGTGCCTCTTTAATGTAAATGTAAGCAAGATGACTGAATGATCAAAAGCAATGTCAAACTGGCCAAAACACTCAATTTCAGTGGGGGTTGAATAATTTTGGTCACAACTGTATGTGGACGGACATACGCCCCTGGATGCAGACTGTGAACGCAGGTTGTTGTTGTGTTTTTCACAAATTCACTGAATGGTTCCTGGCCAGTCCTCTGTACTGCAGTTGTCTGGTGATACAATGATTCCAAGCTTCATGTCAGCACATGCTGCACCCCATAAAAAGGCAGTCACATAGATCTGCACCCTCTTAGACATTTGTTTTATTTCGTAAAGTAATTCTACTATGAACACTCATGTAGAAGTTGGAATAGATACAGCATAGTTGCTTGTTTGTATACAAGAAAAACATGTATGACCAGCAGCTGGCAGGACCTGTTTTATTCCATGTGATATTAGCATTTGTACAAAAGTGAAAGAAACACTACACACCTAAGTTACATCATTTTCATACACTGGCTTACATAAATGAGGCCTTTAAAATCATAGCAGGTATATTGACAATGGTTGCAACTGAATGCATTTTACATAGGAAACATGCATATGAATATTTATGTAAGGTAATGGTCATCATAAATCTGTTATAAGCGCAGTGACTGGCCTTTTTTTTTTTTTTTTTTTATTGGGTTCATGTGCTTGTTAATGCAAAAAAGTCAAGCAATGCATTAACTGAATACATTTAAGCCCAACTCTAGGCACAAGAAAAAACAACCCTGGAAGTGCACCACCCCCCCCCCCCCACTGCAAGGTTTAAAGCTGAACTCTGGGATCTAGCTAACATTGCAAATGTTCCCTCTCCCTAAGCTCTGTTAGGCTACTTTCACACTGATCTGCCGCAAAAATCTCATAGGTGTTTTTGACGCGCTTTCTGAGCGTTTGTAACCACTTCCCTTCCGGGCCATGTACATAAATGTCCGGACGGGAGCAGTGCAGGAGCGGGTTGCCGTTCATAAACGGCGCCCACATTTACAGGCTGTGCGTGCTCCCTGGGGGCGCGTGGCACTTCGATCTGGTGCCCACTGTGTCCTCCGGAAACACACCAATCGCTGCACGGGACCTCTGTGTGAGATCTCGATCATGTGATCACATGAATAGTAGTTAGCAAGATGTCACTTGCTGACATCATTGCTTACTACTTGTGAAATCTGTGAATGATTACAGAGGTCACATGGTACAAGGCAATTCACAACAGCCTTGTACCATGTGACAAGCTGTGACCAATCACAGCTCTCATAGTATTTCTCAATGGCTGCAAGAATGCAGCCAGAGAGAGAAGCGTAATTTATTGCTTTTACACCCATAAAGGCTGTAAAAGCAGTGTGCAAAAAAAAAAAAAAAATCTTCATCACCCCCCACAAGTAGTACAGTGTCACTATGGTGACACTGTACTGCTAGAGTGACCGTATATAAATAATATGAAAAAATTATAATTTTTGGTTCTAAACTAATTTTGGGTTATTTTTTTTTTTTTTAAGCTGAATAAATTTTGACCAAGATTTGTGCAAAAAGATTATTTGTAAACTTTTATAAGAAAAACACTTTTTTCTAAATTTTTGGACATTTTCATTTATATAGCAAAAAAAAATAAAAATCCCAATGGTGAATAAATACCACCAAAAATAAGTTTTATCTGTCTCAAAAAATCATATGGGTACAGTGTTGCATGACCGCGCAATTGTCATTCAAACTGTGATAGCACTGAAAGCTGAAAATTGACCTGGACAGGAAGGAGTAAAAGTTTCCGGACCTGAAGTGGTTTAAGTACATGTGACTTAAAAAAAACTGCTCCAAAAACGCTTCCCAAAGGTGCTTTTCATGCGTTTCCATTGCTTTAAATGGGAAAAGGCATTTCTGGGGCGTTTTTTTTTTTTTTTTTTTTTTTTTTTTTTTTTAACTCGCCAAACATGCCCCAATGATGCTGCAAGCAGCAGTTTACACCGCACCGCAAGCGCAGTGCCTTTAGTGTGAAAACATACATTCACATATATAGGGAAGCATTTTTCTTGAGCTTTTCAGGTGCTTTTTTTAACACAAAAAAGCTTCAAAAACTTCTCAGTGTGAAAGTAGCCTCGCAATGCTGTTTAAATCGTAGTCCCTTACTTTTCTTCCAATTTAAAAATGTAAGTCTCTGTGACGTCATGAAATCCTTGGAAAAGAATGCTCCTTCCTGGCGCCAGGAGGACTTTTTTTCTCTCTCTGCACATCATATCTGTGTGGGGAAAGAAAACTACATTTCCCAGTATGCAAAGGTAAATGCAGGAAGTCGCACACTGCATGTGCACTGAACCTGAGGAGGAGTGGAGGGTGGAGCTAGTGCCAAAGGCTCTATCTTGGACACTCCCACATTGCCAGCCACAGTCACTTACACATTGTGGGTGGCTCGGATTGGGAGTCCAAGACTTCTGAGCCCGCCCACTATAGTGGGCGGGGACATAGTTATATCTCTGCTCGCTGTAAAGAACTACAGTGGGGCAGAGACAAGACCAGTGGCTGCAGGGATACACCGCATAGTGCTGCCAGACTTACAATATGGATGTAACAGAGAATGAAGCCCTAATTCAAAGAACACACACTGGATTTCTTCACGAGGACACAGTGGGGAAAGAAACAACCAGCATAATTTATGAAGTTATGAACCCATATGTTCAAATATCAAAAGTTGCACAAATAATGGAAGTGCAAATATGACCGTGGTTCTTTATCCAATAGCAGAATGGATATCTTTGTAAAGCCTGGTATACATGTTCATTTTTTTTTTTTTTTATTTTGAATCCACTGGGCTGAAGGAAAAAAAAAGTAGAGTTTTCTAACTATGCGATGTTAGTGCGGCGATCTCTCCTGCTAAGCTATTGCGTTCTGAAACTTCCCCCTGCCAGAACACGCTGATCAGCACTCAGCTATTGGCTGCTAGCGCTGAATGGATGCTGTTTTTTCAGTACTTCCCTTTGAGAAAAGCCGATCGTTGGATCAGCTTCTGTTGGACAGGCAGCTGTTCAATTGGGCTTCTTGGAAAACAGAAAATATTAATAAAATATTATCAATAAGTAGTACCACTTTATAATAATAGCTCTGATCTGTCTCCTTTCCTGCACTTGATGCCTGACTCTGTTTTGACCAGTATAAAGTATAAATATGTACATGGATATGCTGAGAAGTAGTTGGTTACAATATAACAGGATAAGCTATGCTGCATGGTATAGTGTATTCAGTATAGTTCAGACAGGTTTTTTTTTTTTTTTTTTTTGTTTTTTTAGTTCTTATATGCAGATGTTTAACATGCCAGCACACCTGCATTATAGCCAATCAGATCTACGGTGTCAATTTCCCATTAACTCAATTGATTTTCTACCCACAGTGTGTTTGAAACAGCTTTAGCCTTGGCCGTAATGCACACCTGTAGGTTTAAAAACGTTTCTTGTCCTACAGGTGTTTTGACACATCAAAGTCGTGGTAAAAAGCCATGTCTTTGCGTTGTCATTAATCCGTGTTCCCACATGTGACATTCCTGCATTAATGCAGGATTGTGGGTTAACGCGTTGAGCGATACAGCTGAACACGCAAGTGATGGGTTTGTATTTCTGCCTTGTAAATCTCCCCTGCCACTAAACTCCTGAAAATACCTATAGTGTGTATGGACACATAGGCTAACATCAATGGGAGTTTACGGACCAAACAAAAAAAAAAAAAAAAGCTCAAAGAAGCAGCTTTTTTGAGCTGCACTGTGCATGTGGCCAAATTACTTTTAATACAGGAGAGTAGGATACACAACATAGATGAATAGAAATGTATTTTTTTATTTATTTTTATTATAGGTACTTATATAGTGCAGTCAATTTATACAGCGTTTCACATATATATTGTACATTCACATCAGTCCCTAACCCTCAAGGGGTGTACAATCTAAGGTCCCTAACTCACATTCATATATACTAGGGCCAATTTAGACAGGAGCCAATTAACCTACCAGCATGTCTTTGGAATGTGAATGGAAACCGGAGTACCCGGAGGAAACCCACGCAGGCACAGGGAGAACATGCAAGCTCCAGGCAGGTGGTACCGTGGTTGGGATTCGAACCAACAACCTTAGTACTGCCAGGCAGAAGTGCTAACCATTTATGTATTTGTGAGTATTATTAGTGGCCTTACACTGTAACTTTTTGGCTTTTACATTTGCTGGTCCATTGTAAGGGAACGTGAAGTATGTATACTATGTTAGTATTAACAATCTGTTTCTGTTCTATAGACCTTTCCCAGGAAAGTCCTTTGGGAGTGCTGCTCCCTCTGTTTACGTAGTCAATTGTATTCAATTGGGATATGGAAAGTGCAATGATATGCAGAATGTAGTAATCTTTAGAGTAAGCCTATGGGAATATCCTATATATAAACTAAGAATTGTAGCTGGCAGTACAAGTTGTATCTTTCTCACAGGAACGTTCCTTCCTGGCCGGCACCTTCTTGTGATTGCGCAAATAGAAACTCTTTAAGACTCACTATTTGCATATTTATTCTTGCACCTCCTATATCAAATTCTGATCTGTTTCCTAGGTCTTAGGCATTGCATTGTGGGAAGTGAATACAGGGGTGTGGAAAAAAAAAAAAAAAAAAAAAAAAAAAAAAAAAACTACTTGTCCACAGGATCAAGTAGTTTTTTTTTTTTTTTTTTTTTTTTTTTTTTTTTTAATAAATCGGGGTCCCAATCTACTTGTCCCTCATGACAATCTACTTGTCCTGATAACAAAAAAAATAAATAACCAATACAAAAAAGGTTTTTCTTTTTTTTTTTTTTTTTATAGCAACATAGGACAACTTCACACCACAAAAATGCATTCCGGATGCGTTTTTGCTTGCAGCTTACTCCGCAAACCTTGATCCAGTTATTTATTTAATTTTTAATACTGTATCTTTATTTTTCTTTTACGTACTTTTTGTTATTTTATATATTTCTCTCTTCTTTATCTTTATTTTTCTTTTACATACTATTGTTTTATATCTTTCCTTCAAGAAGAGAAAGATACAATGCATCTTTCCCTTCATTCAGAAGAGGAAGTAAACACAGGGGCGGCCTCAGTGACTGATCACTGTGATAGCCAATCAGAGGCTATCGCAACAATCAGGTGATCCGGAACCAGGAGTCCCGGGTACTGATCATTAGTATGAGACGTGGGGCTCTTGTTGAGAGCACGTTGTCTGTGCTGGGTGGGTTGTGTGGTGAGCTACCATGACAAAGAGAGATAGATATGTGTCCCCATGGATAAAGACCCACTTCCTGCAGCAGGGCTAAATGTACAAAAAAAAAAAAAAAAAAACCCTGCCCAGCGACTGAAACTGCATGTCCCGGACGTCGGTCGATATAAATTGCGCATCCCTGGAATATCCACTGAAAAGAATCAGACACTTAAACCCGGTTCACACCAATGCGTTGCGGGAAACGCTGCGAATCCTGTGCATTTCCTGCGCTGCATGGCTTTCATGCGATCTGGTGTGGGTGTCCATGATTAATTAATGACACCCAAAACAGATCACAAAACGTGATGCGATTTCCAGAAATCACATGGCACACCGGATTCAAAAACTGGTCCTGCACATTTTTGGTGTGGATGCGATATGAGCCATACGTAATGTATGGCTCAAATCGCACCGCACAGACATTTGCATGTAATTTGCACAGAAATGCGGTACGATTCTTGTGCGAATTACAATGTGGTGTCCCGCACCACATAGTGTGAACGTGGGCATGCATTGGGAAATCGTCCGCCGGCATGCGTCGGAGAAATCGTCCGCCGGCATGCGTCGGAGAAAAGGGTCCGCCGGCATGCGTCGGAGAAAAGGGCCGCCGGCATGCGTCGGAGAAAAGGGCCGCCGGCATGCAGCGGAGAAGCGCTTTGTAAAACTGGTACAAACTGACAGCTTTTACTGTTGGCTGCCAATTGCAGTTCTGAGTTTATAATTTATGATACTCCCACAGATTTATTTTAAACAAGTATATGTCATTTTTCTGCAGTCAGAACAACAAAAGATGAATTTTGATTGTATGCCTTGCTGAATAAAAACAAGCAGTAGCTGGATCCATAGAATGATTTATGGCAATCGCATACACAATACCGCCAGTCATGTTATGCTAACAAATCAAAAATTCAAAGTAGTCTTGACACACTTTAGTGCATTCATACTCATGTGTCTGCTGACAGGTGAAAGGAAGGCATTAGGCACGCTGCATGTTGCATATCTGATATTGTTGGTATGCAGAGACATTACTGAGAAGCACAAAGCGGCTGAGTAGGTGATTCAGAGCCGTGCCTACTAAATTAGTATTACCATTTGTGCTGTTTTCCTCCCTCCCATCTCCTCGCATTCTTCTCAGTTCACATTTATTACGCGCTAGCCTCTGTCTATGGCTGTCGTCTTCTATTCAGCCAGACAGTAATGCTCTGGATTATACCAATGTTTTTGTAATGCTAATATGATTGTTGAAAGTCTGAGATTGAGCCAGTCATATTTCATATGGAGACACTCTAGAGCAGACATATGAAGGGTCATTTTTTTTCCGTCAGCAGGTAGCAACAATCTTTCTTACCCTTGTCTCCTATGTATGGCTTGGAGCTTCAGGGTTTGGCACTTGCTGTGACATTGTGGTAAAAGGTGCAAAGCTTAGTGAGAAGAGCATTCCTATTGCAGAGAGCATGATCATTTTGGTATACCCTTGTCGATGGGGATATATCATTTTAAAGGGTTTAATTTAAAAAAAAAAAAAAAATCTATATAAATGTAATTGCATTATATCAGTGTAGGGTATTTAAAAAAAAAACAAAACAAAAAACAACAAAAACTTGCTTCGATTTGTATAATTTATTTTTTATTAATACTGTCTATTCACATGGGGAAGCCATTAGGGCCCTTTACATACAGAAGTAGGGGCTACATTTTCTCTTAGAGATATACTGTAATTATTATTTTACTGCTTCACTTACTAAAATTTTGTGAACACAGACTGAAGGTAATATAATCTCTAGGTGTAACTATTTTAACTTAACATTGTCTTTAAAGCAGAACTTCACTCTCTCAATCAACATGACTATTTTTCATCTTTTTTGCTGCTAGAATTCATAAATAGATAGAAAGGTATATTATATATACTTGTTTTAAACAGGTTTTTTTTTTTTGTGGTTTCTTGACCTAAGCAAATTATGTCATTATATCCCACGAGTCTTTAGGAGGAGAGGAAGGGGTTTTCTCATTTTAAGCACACCCTCCTGTCTGCATGCCTAATCTATGGGCAGATGAATTCCAGGAAGTAAATACTACATGAATCATTTGCCCTTACTCAAGATTGCCATGGCCAGAATTGCTAGGGGGTGTTTTTTTTTTTTCAAAATGATTCCTCAGCAAAATAAAGCATGGAGATATGGATGATTGGGGGAGCTTTGAATATTAGCAGTTAATTTTGGTTTGTGGGGCTCAAATCCAGTGTAGTTCCACTTTAATAAACTCTGTCACCTTGCCCAGTCACAGAAGAGTGGCAGAACCTCTAAAGCCACAAACTCACTTATACTCCACTTTTCCCAGGCTCCCCCACAGCTTGCCTTTATCCTTTGGAACCCCTGCAAAATACCCAATACTTCCTACCATAGGGCAGCATGTGTCCTCCTCCCATGATGCAGTGCTCGGCATAAGAGGTCAGTTGGCAGATGTGAACTGTCACATGACTGAAAAGGTGGCCATAATTATACACTTGTTGGTTCCAACATCATCAAAGCTTAAACAAGGTTAGGACTGCTGTGCCATGGGGCAATAGACGAATTGACCGAATCTCTTTAAAGCCCAGACCCACTTACACTTAAAAGAGTGGGTCAGTAGTGGTCTTTGAAGCAAGTCTGTCAGTTTGGGTTTTAATGAGTGTGAATCAGTCTCTTTAACCAATTCCTGTCCGGCCCATGTACATAAATTGCTGGACCAGAGCAGTGCAGGAGCAGGTGGTTGTTTATAAACGTCCTTCTGCATTCCCTGCCTGTGCACGCTCCCTGGGAGCATGCAGCACCGCGATCCAATGCCTGCTGTGTCCTCCAGACACAGCAGAACACCGATCGCTGTACAGAACCTCTGTGTGAGGTCCCAATCATGTGATCACTGATTGTCCAATCAGTGATCACATGAATAGTAGTAAGCAAGATGTCACTTGCTGACATCATTGCTTACTACTTGTAAAATCTGTGAGTGATCACAGAGGTCACATGGTACAAGGCTGTTCACAACAGCCTTGTACCATGTGACGAGCTGTAACCAATCACAGCTCTCACAGTATTTCTCAATCGCTGCAAGAATGCAGCCAGAGAAAAAGAGAAATTATTGCTTTTACAGCCTTTTATGGGTATAAAAGCAATCAGTGTAAAAAAAAAAAAAAAAAAAAAAATCACCCCTCGCAAGTAGTACAGTGTCAGTATGATGACACTGTACTGCTAGGGTGACAGTATGTTAAAATAAATAAAATAATTAAATTACAAAAAGTTTTTGGGAAAAATTATAATTTTTGGTTATAAACGAATTTGTTTTTTTTTTTTTATTAAAAAGATAGCTGAATACATTTTGGCCAAGATTTATGAAGAAAAATTATTTATTTGCAAAATTTTATAAGATGTTTGGACCTTTTCATTTATATAGCAAAAAAAAAAATAAAAATCCCAGGGGTGAATAAATACCACCAAAATTAAAGTTTTATCTGTCTCAAAAAAAATGTGTTGCATGACCGCGCAATTGCCATTCAAAGTGTGATAGCACTGAAAGCTGAAAATTGGCCTGGACTGGAAGGGGGTAAAAGTGTCCAAACTTGAGTGGTTAAGGAAAAGTAATCCATACATTTTCTGGAGAAAATGAACATCCACCTCCATCCATATGCTGAGTTCAATTGTTATGATGTCTATTGCAAGTACTATGTAACAAGTATATTGCGGTCATGTTGCTCAGTGATAAATGAAGAAATATTGTGGTTGGAAGATTGAGTTCTCTTCTTAAAAAAAGGAGACAGCGGAAGTGTTTTCAAGGCTTCCAGGCTTCGGAAGCCTTTGTGTGCATCTCAGTGTTGTCTTTTGTTGCCATTGTAGGTGGATCAGCTGTGTACTTTGTAACTTTTGGCTAAATCACGTAAGCTTGGCACACTCTATAGCACAGGTGTCAAACTGGCGGCCCTCCAGCTGTTGCCAAACTACAAGTCCCGTGAGGCATTGCAAGATTGACAGTTACGAGCATGACTCTGAAAGGCAGAGGCATGATGGGACTTGTAGTTTCGCAACAGCTGGAGAGCCGCCAGTTTGATACCACTGATCAATAGGAAAGTCGGAAGAAAAATGTATTACGAGGAACAATCATCCAATTTTCATATGGTGTTTACACAACTTTCAACATCAAATTTAGACTTTACAAATGCAAATTTTCAAAGGGACAAACTCCATATTTGTTCTTCGTTACGTGACCATAACTAATGATTTTCATTTAATGTGTACTGTTTTTGTAGAAGATAAATACTAAAGACTGCGCATGATCAGAAACTATAAACAACAATCCTCTATGCTGCAATGTTTGTATGTCAAACCTAAAGCCTTGTCGTTCCTACGATTCGTACCATCCTCGGTTTCGACTTACTCTGAGAAAAACCAGATGAACGTTCGGCCAATTTTCTTATAGTGTGTACCCAGCTTTAGATTCCAAGCAAATTTTTGATTCTCATAGAAATCAAACTTTTTATTCTCCATCTGTAAAACTATCCAGGGTTCTTTTCATACTGTGTATGGTGCTTGAGGAGGCCATCTCCTGAGCAGCAGGCCTGGATTTTGAGGAAAAAATCACATAAACTTGGTATTAGTGCAGCAGCAGACTGGTTCATTCATTATCTTGTCAGCATTTCCTTCCTATGTAAACATATCCCAAGGGATGAATAGGCTTTAACCTATTCTCAACCTCAGACTGTAGATCAGCATTCTTCAGCATGGTGCACATATGTTCCTTAGTAAGCCCACCTGTATTTTTTTATCACCCAACCAGTATAATATTTCCCATTACATCGAGTTCCAGCATCTGGATTTTATTCACATCGTTGTCTACTCCATGTGATCCTCACACATCATGGATCTGCACTGCTCTGGGACTGGGGTGGTTCATTATTTGTGGTATGGTAATACCCCCTTTTTTTTTTTTTTTTTTTTTGAACAGGCTGGCTCAAGGTGCCCAGTTTGTCTTTTTGAGATGTTTAGTCGATGGGGGACAAAGTAATGTTAACGACTTGAAGTCCAAGTCTTTTCTGACACTTTTTGTTTAAGTCTAAAAATCAGTGTCTTTTTTTTTTTTTTTGCCAGAAAATTACTTAGAACCAGGGCTGGATGTAGCCTGTCCAATGTGGGGGTGCAGTAATAAAATGTCAGGGAGGCAGAGGATGGGAGGTCAGCAGGGCAGAGGACAGGGGTCACTGCTAGCAGGGCAGAGGACAGGGGCACAGTTCCTTCTTCATCCCTGTACTGCACACAGCCTGGGTACAGGCAGCAGAGTTCCTCTTCACACAAGGCAAAACTGAGATCAGTATAGGGCAGTATAGTGTCAAACTAGGGTGGTAAAGTGTATGATTAGGGAAGTATAGTGCCAGGTTAGGGTAGGCTCTAGGGTGGGCACAACTAAAATATGGGGGGGGGGCATAGCCCACCCCAGCACCCCCTACATCCGGCTATGCTTTGAACTCCCATACATTACATATAATTTTAGGAAAGGCCCTAAATAATAAAATGGTGGGTTTTAAACATGTTTTATGTGACACAGTATTTTTCTTTTTTTTTTCCCCAACCGCAATTTTTGGAAAAAAAATACACTTTCATGAATTTAAGTGCACACAATATAATAACCATTGCTTGGTAAAACATAAAAGATGATGTTATGCCAAGTAAATGGATACCAAACATGTCACAATTTAAACTTGCGCATGTTTGTGGAATGGCACCAAACTACGGTCCTTCAGATTAAACTGTACTCCTTTTCAATCTAATAAACCATTTAACTTTCCTTCTTTTATATGATCTTTTTCTCACAAAATTTAATTTCTGATCTATCATTTCAGCTTTTATATGGAATCCATACAGTTTCCAGTTTCATACACAACCTATTTGGAATATTTATCAGTTTTGACTGTATTCTGTATTTTTCTACCAAGTAGGTCATATTAAAGTAGACCTACAGTGTGTTTCAAAAGTGAACTTTGGGAAAATATAGAAATAATTGCTTCTAAGCAGCAACTTGAAAAATCTACCCTTTTGCCTCTAATTTATTTTGAGAAATATCGTTGTGTTTCCTGAATGTGCCTAGGCTCTGCTGTTCTTGGTGCTTCAGAGCTGCATATCTGTATGGTAAGGTCATCTATGGTTCGCCCCACTCACTCTTGACTCTTAATAGCTATCCCCACAAGCTTTTCTAAGGTATCTGCACATTTTTTTTTCTTTTTATATTTATGTTTGCTTTTACTTGATTGGAAGCATCCAAAACCTTTAAAAATCAGCATGGTCTCCGAAGTACTGAAGTGGAAAAAAAGGTAATAATATAAGCACCTCCCAGTGCCAGCATCTGTGCTCTTTCAATTTCCAGAGAGGCCCAGTTGGTCAATGGGGTCACCCAATACACTTTGTAGTCAACAGAGGGCCATGGCGAGAACAAAAGTGCAGGGACTCTGGCAGCTGTAGTTGCTGTGTTGTTTAACATTTTGATTCAGATTTTTTGGGGTCCTGGGCCCCTTGGAATTAACTGAGGGAGGGTGCAATCATTCAGGCATGCCTGCACTCTCTGACGCTTATTCAGCTCCCTGCCAAAGAGCACAGATACAATTTTAAGGCCGTAACCCTTAGCAACCATCTTTGACTTGTGCAGAGTGAATTTTGATTGGTTGCTATACTTTACTGCTCTTAAGAATTGGCTGAATTTATCTGCGTGTTTTATTAAAAGCTCTTTTATGTAACCCAGCCTGTAATTTAGCTTTACGGTCTGTTCAAAAGCATCTACTTAGCTATTCATTATCGCCCCTGATCAGCTGCTGTGTATTAACTGTGAACGTAAAATCTGTCTACGCCATTCTTTGTTCCTGCCAAGACATTTTGCTGCAATTCAAGCCCAACTCATTCTGCATTTCACCTTTAAGCTACACTTCCTCCCCATCATCTATGGCAGTGTAATTGAGACCCTCTGCTCAAGCACTAACGTTGATGTTTAAATATATATCTTAATACAATTGGCAGTTTGCTTATTCTTATATATGAAAAATGCAATTCAGGCAATGGTTATATAAATAAAATAGACTATATCTGAAATGTTTTTTTAAAAGAGCACTGAAATGGTGATACAATATAGTCTAAAATAAGTGGCTAAGTGATTATTGGAAATATATTTATTGTGCTGATCTATCAAATTTCATCACTGACTGTGACCTTATCTGTACATATGATCTTCTAGTACATGGGTCTCCAAAAATATGGCCCACCAGCTGTTGAAGTACTACAAGTTCCATCATGGCTCTAGGAGTCTTGCAAGGCCACCTGGAGGGCCATGGTTTGGAGACCCCTGTTCTAGTACCTTGATCTCCAAACTGAGGCCCGGGGGCCAGATGCAGCCCTTTGCTTGCTTATATCCAGCCCTGGGGCACTATTTCATCCACTGATACCAACAATGGGGCATAATTCCCCCCCCCCCCCACCAATGAGGGGGCACAATTCCTCCCAATGACCCAATGATGGGGCACAATTCCTTCCAATGACCCCAATGATGGGGCACAATTCCTTCCAATGACCCCAATGATGGGCACAATTCCTTCCAATGACCCCAATGATGGGGCACAATTCCTCTCAATGACACCAACGATGAGGCATTGTCTATCCCCACTGACGTCAGGACCTTTTCTACTCCCACTGGCCACAGTCCGGACCCCCTAAAGTCTGAAGGACAGTAAACTGGCCATTTTCTTTAGAACGTTTAGAGACCTCTGTTCTAGTACCCGCAAGAACCATTTAAAGGTGAGTTAATCTAAAACCGATTTTTATTTATTTTTTGTATTCTGTTTTTTTTTTTTTGGGTGTGATGCTGGTAGTCGCCCGCTGACTTTTTATGTTTTGTCAGGGACATTTGTAGCACAGCCATTCCTCACTGTGCCAATGCTGTGTTGTTGGAGCCTCATCGCTGCATATCTGCATTGTAAGATCACCTATGGCACGGGTGTCAAACTGGCGGCCCTCCAACTGTTGCCAAACTACAAGTCCCATGAGGCATTGCAAGACTGG